GAATGCTCTTTGTTGTTTCTGCATGTTTTGCAATAAGCTTTAATTACCTGAGAACACTTTAATGTAAGTATTTGATTATAATGTTTTTCTGTATTCAGGAAGTTTTCAGTGTGGCTTTCCATTCGTGTTACCATTCTCCTTATTAGTTTCCTCACTTGTGCTGTTTCTCGAACTTGATTGAAATCTGTATTATTTAGTCTCTGTGGGCGTGGGTTTGATCCCTCAGACTTTCTGCTAACCAGCTCCTGTTGACTTTGGTGGGAGCTCTCTCTAGAGAAGACTTGCAGAAACCAGCCGTATAATTGAATCCATCTCCTCCCTCATGAAAAAACTCCTGTCCAATGCTCAGTCATTATGAAAACTTCTCAAAACAAATTGAGTAGAAGAAGAAACAGAGCTGAAAGAGACCACCCAAAGTACTAGAACCGAAATAAGCTTTGTCCCTCTGCTTTTCCTTTATTCCAGAACTTGTGTCCATACTCCTACATCTAGGAAGAGGAGAAAAGACCACAGTTATTTATAATTGCCAGAGATCTTCTATAATAACAATTTCTCCTCAAACTGGTGGAAGGTGGTCTGAAGCTCTTCTGTAGCAGCCGTCCCCATGCAAAGAAAGGCGAAGGGCTCTCCTTTTTGTGTTTTTGATCTACAGCAATTTGGTCTTAATCTGTTTTAACAAAGCAGTCACACTGCAGTAGAACTTGCTGTTGTCAATTTTCGATTGTTCCCACATGTTCAAACATCTGCTTGGTGTGTGAAGCCAAAGTTTCCCCTTTTTCTGTATGCATTCAGAGCCATTGACTTCATGATAATGTCAGGATGAATGGCAGGAAATTAAAGTGGAATTATTTAGCTTTGGAGAAGTGTACAGAACAATACATTGCTGAAGAATGCCCAGTTGAAGAAACTAAAGTAAACGAAAGGAGCTGCAGGTGGTCTGATCTGTCCTTCACGTACTTGGCCACGACTTCCCGTTGGTGGAGAAGGCGAAGGTGCCAGCTCTGAGCAGCACACGGCGCAGCTTGGCCTGGTGTCTCTTGTGCAGGTTTGTGATGCAGATAACCCAAGGCAGATAACATAGTGACTGCCTGGCTTTGACGACAATGGGAGTTTGTCAGAGAAGCCTTGAAAACAGCTGCGAGGAAGTTTTGGCAAGAAGGCTGTCACACAAACATGGGTTTTAAATAATCGTAACTTGTCAGTGATTTATCTCCAGGGGTTGTGTTCAACAGCAAGCGTGACTGCTCAGTGGCTTTTTCCCAGGGAACTGAGGGAAAGCGTGGTGAGCTTTCCAGGCACAAAACTGAAACAGCAAGAGGGTACTGAAAGGTTGTAAACCACTGAAAGGTTATAAACCACGGGTTCCCAGGGGGTTTGACAAGCAGTTTAGCTACCCTCACTGTTTATTTTGGTCAAAGTTTGTGCACTGTTGGAAGCAGCTCTGTGGAAGAGAGCTGTGAGGGTGGTGAGACACTGGAACAGGTTGCCCAGAGAAGCTGTGGATGCTCCTCCCTGGAAGTGTTGAAGGCCAGGCTGGATGAGGCTTTGAGCAACCTGGTCTAGTGGAAGGTGTCCCTGCTGCTGGCAGGGGGGTTGGAACTGGATGAGCTTGAAGGTCCCTTCCAATCCTAACCATTCTATGATTCTATGAAGAGCTTCAGACCACCTTCCACTAATTTGAGGAGCACAGTCAAACCAAAACACCTGAGGAGTTGGTGTCACAGGAATAATGACAGGGATAAATAGGGGTAAATCCAGGCTAATATTTCTTTAGTAAATATTATTCCAAGTGTAGTCAGCATCCGGTGCATTGGAATGAGGTGCAGCCATGAAGAGCTGGGAGTGTCCCCTGATCCAAGTAGGAAAAGAGGAGGTACCAGTCTTCTTCTGGTTTTTGGGGGGTTTTTTTCCCTCTAGGAGTCAAGGTCAGTGGTCTTCAATCCTTCAATCCTTTTTTTACTGCTGACTGCTAGTCCTTGATCTCATACCTATGGATCATACCCTTGATCATGCCCATGGATTATACCCTTGATCATACCCAGCTTGGAAGGGGCACTGTGAGGAATACTGAGAAACTGTAGAATCTGAGACATTTTTTTTTTTTTTTTTTTCAGGAAAATTCCTTTCTAATGCCTGAAAAGCAGCTAATCCCTTAACTCATCCCACAGGAGAACGTACAATCATAATGGGTTTAGGAGGGAGAGCAGATGAAAAAATATCGAGCCGTGTTTGAGCTGGATAGCTTGCAGCAGAATTGCATGTGCTGTGAAATAGATTATTGCTGCTGAGCCCAGCGTTCAGGGCGGTGATGTCTGGAGCTGCCTCTTCAGGGGTGACTCTTTCTTCTTCACCTCAAGCCTCTCCTAGCTCAGGTGTTGCTGTTGAACACACACTGTGGGGTGTTTTCTGGTGGGAACAGACTCTGTGTCTGCTGCTGCGGTGTTTGGGGCAGCGTCGGTCCCGTCTCCCTGAGGGGTCTGGGCTCTCCCCCAGCCCACCCCCTGCCTGTACAAGTGGAGCTGTGCAGATCCTTGCTGTTCTCCTGCCTGCCTCTCGACAGACCCTGCTCTTCACCTCAGGAGAAATGGGGCAGGGGCTGCTCTGCAGAGGTAACAAACACCACTTGGAATGGAGTGCGAAGGAAGCTTGGCTTAACTTTTGCCAGACCGTCGCTTGATTTATGTGCGAGGCTTAATTTCACTCTTGCCAGACGTTTTCATTTTCCATTTCTTTTCAATATTGCCATGGGAAAACAGCCTTCACCACAAAGCTAGAAGTATCTTCTTCCTAAATGAGGAAGCAAAGGCAAACTGATGGCTGTCTGTCCTGCAAAGCCAGAGAGACCCGGCTTACTCAGAGGGTCGCAAGCTAATAAATCAAACACGTTACGTTGTCTGCTGGGAATAAATTTGTCACTTCTTTATTTACAAGAGTCTGTGCAGAAGGAGTGATATTTAACAGTGCTTTTCTCATTGCTCATTATTTTCTTTGGAAGGTTTTGGGGTTTTTTTTCCCCAAGTAGAAAAAGAAAATAATAATTAAACTAATTGTACAGATGAAAAGAACGGGGATATAACGCTGGGAAAAAAAGGCAATGGCTGATTGAAGCTGATAGGTGATGCGTTCTGAAAGATAACATCTAGCTAAGAGAGTCAAAGCCAAGTATGTGGTACAGAATCACCGAGTGGTAGGAGTTGGAAGGGACTTCTGGAGATGATCTAGTCCACCCATAAAGTCAGTGTCACTGTTTTATATGAAGTAGCATTAGCAGGTTATTTTCAGGTCTGCCTTCCTGCATGCTTTTGCCCTCAGCATTACGCACAAATTGTGTGATTTAAAACATTTCATATTTACATTTAGTTGAATTTGATGTTTCCTGGTAGGATTTCCTGTTGTGGTGCAACAGCATTCCAACCTTTTCAAGAAAAGTAATTTGTTATTCTTCAGAAAATAGAAGCAACTGGTGAATACGGTTTGTAAGCAGTGAGAAATCAGTTCAAATGTTACAAATCATAAAACCACTCTTCACAGATGGCCAGTTGGGTTGTTCAGAGGCAGTGCTGGGATGTGCTGCTTTGCCTGTTTGAGGTGGGAGGGAGGAGCTACACGTGAGATGCAGATAAACCACAATATGGATAAAAGTAAATTATTTTAGTGTAAATACAGACGTGAAACCTCTGGGTTTTGGTTTGGTTTTTCAGATTTAAACCCATGTTTTTTTGTTTTCAGATTTAACAAATCAAGTGGAGACAATTGGACTGAAGCTGCAGAAAGTAACAGCTGAAATGGACCACTACAAAAAGCTGTTAATGTAAGACTGCCATTTGCCTGATTGCTTTGCCGCTGTGCATGAAGCTGTAACAGCACACTTTCTTTTTCAGAGAGCACTGCTTGTCAGCGTGATTGGAGAAGGTTATGACCAACAGAGAAAATATTTTATCTTCATTTTAAACAAGTCTGTATTTCTAACCAGCTGACTGAGCGTGTCTGTCGGTGGAAGCAGGGCTTTTCTTCCTCCAGCTGTGTTTAATGAGACAGCAAAGAGGAGGGTCAGGTCAGCTCAATCCAACACTTCATTTAACACACAACTGTAGGGTAAATTTTGTGAAATCCACAGAACTGCTGGACTAAAAATGGATGTGGAAAGTAGTATTTCACATTGGAGGTTTGGGATTCTCAGGGAAGAGTGTGAAGTAACTTCACTTATTCATTGGAACAGGCTGCCCAGGGCAGTGGTGGGGTCCCCATCCCTGGAGGGATTGAAGAGTCGTGTAGACACAGTGCTGAGGGACATGGGTCAGTCGGGGACTGGTCAGTGTTGGGTTCATGGTTGGACTCGAGGAGCTTAAAGGGCTTTTCCCATCCAGGAAATTCTGTGAAAAGGTCCCCAAGGAGCAGGGTCTGGCAGCTGTGGGACCGTCCAGCTGCAGCCTTTGGGACAGCAAAGGGCTGGATCAGTGACTCTGGAGGCTCACGCCCTGTGTTGCAAAATCTTTGGGGACACATAAATAAACTGAAAACTGAAAAGCTAAATGGCAGCAGTGGTGGTAAGAAGGCTGCAGAAAGCTGTCCCCTCTGTCCTAAAACCAGATTTCTAGGGATTAGAAGGGACTTTCTTGGTACTGACATGAGCCAGTTTGCCCTCAACTCTGGCAATTTGATCAACCTCTGTGTCTCTGGCGTTTTCAGGGGTGATTCAAGGTGCAGCCCAGCAGAGCAGAGTTCTCCTTTATTGCTTTTTCAGTTCAACATTGAACTTCTTTATTATTCCTGCAATTAAGGGGAGAGCAGAAATTAGTCCTCCATCAAAACCCAAGGAACTAAGAAAAAATATACATATCTTCTTAAATCTTGTTGTGTTACTGCTCACTGTTCTCCTGGGCTGATGTCTCCATGGCCAGTAAAGGGCCATGCAGTGGGGTCACCACGTTCCCCACATCCCAGGGCTCCCCTCCACTGACTTCCATGGGAATTGGCTTCCATGGGAGCTGTCTTGGGCAACCAAAATCAGGCCAGGCAACCTCTGGGGTCCCATCCAGACAGAACAGTGCTCAGTGGGACCTGAGTCGTCACCTCTAAAAGCTGTGGGATCCAGGATCTGACAGCTTTCCTGTGTTTAAAATCCACATTGCTTGCATATAGCAATGAAAATAATTCAGAAAGTAAGCTGAAAAAAAGATTCAGAAACAGCAGCAACCTTTATAATTCAGTACTGAAAATAAAAATTACTGTTTCAGGTACTAAGCTCAAGAGTGATGAACTAGTACTGCCAATCTCGAGACCAGCTGTCATCAGGCTTTTTTATATTTTCCTGAGATTTCAGCAAGGATTCATTCTTTTATGATGTGTACTTTCTGGTTTCAGTTCCTATATCCAGAAGGTCTGATCATAACAAAGTTGCAAATATTTAGAATGCTTAGCAACAAAGTCTTTTAATGATAATACAAGTATTGAGTATGAAAAAAAAGATTTCATGAACACAGTTAAATAAACTGTAAAGGGTTTCCAAATATAATATTAAAATTTCAATGTAATATGGATACAATTTAATAACATAACATATTCTAGATCTGTTTAAATGTAAATATGAAGCTTAACCATGGTTATTAATTGGTGAAATGATGACATAATAACAAGAAACCTGGAAAGTTTCCAGCCCTCTTACCTACTAAATTATTATTTGTCCATTTTTATTCATATCTTACTTGAAACATTCATCAGTGTTGCAAGATCTCACTTTCTTGTTCTCAACATTAAACTTATTGTGATTCTACACAATTCTACACAAGTGTAGCTTCCAATTAATTAAAAATGTTAGCTAGAACTAACAGAATGTTTTTGTTGTCTACCTTTTAACTAAGAGAGAAAGTGCAAGTTAGATAATATGTCAATAAACCTGATGTTCAAGTTGCTGCCTGAGAAAAGACTAGCATTTCTTTGGACAAATACACTTTTTTTTAAATGTTTCCTTAGGGTCAAATCAACAGAACTTGATGTCTGTCAAAATGAACTGAAAAAAATGAAATATGAAAATGGAATTTCTGAGTCAAGGTAAATGCTGTCTTAATGTATAGATTTCTGAGCAGTGAGAGCAAAAAATTCATTTTATTATTTTAATGCAGCTTTTATACAATAGTTTTTTCTGGTTTTAGTTTCTATTTTTGTGTTCAAGTCACTAGCTTTAAATTAATGAAGAACAGATAGCTTTTTGTCTAATATTTTATTTTCCAGGTACCAATGATTTCTGCCTGTTTAGTATCTGTCTATAAATATAATGACTATGTGATGCTGATAGTTTTTTTTATTTCATCTTCAGACTTACAAAAGAGCTCAAGGAAAAGGAGGAATCTCTTCTAATTTGCCAACAAGTGTGCAAACGTTTACAGGAAGAAGTTGCTGAGAAAGAAAGGAAAGAAGAAGATCTAAAAAGAAGAACCAGTCGATCAGAAAATGAACTGGAAACGCTTAAAGCTCTTCTTGGACAAACAGAGGAAGAGGTGGTGATGTTGAAACAAGAAAGGTAACGGGAGCTGAGTCATCACACGTAACCTCTGCTGACTGTACACTCAGCCTGGCTTGTCTTTTCAGACATCTATTAAAAGTCAAATATTCCTGTCCTGCCAGATCCTCAGCCTCTCACTGTGACTGAAAGGACAGATAGATTCTGTAAAGCCCCAGAGGTGGTTTGTGCTGGTCGGTATGTGGGAGAAGAGGTGACAGAATGAGGAGTGTGGCTATGGCACTGGGCAGACTGGGAGAGACTGGTCCCAGCTGCATGTTCTGAAGTTACTACCTCGCCTGTGTCCTCAGAACAGTCCTGCCCTGCCACTGCCTTCTCTCTTCTCCTGCTTTTAGGGCAAAACTCTAAAAGCCTTGGAAGCCCTAAGCTCATATCCTGAAATTTTGCAATTCATCGGATGGATTTTTTAAATTATTACAGCATGGACAATACTTGAATGAAACAGAAAAAAAGGAAAAAGTCTATTAAAAAAAAAAAAAAGGAGGGGAGAAAAAATTCCTTGCTTTGAAGTCCGGTGTTTCAGCTCAAACTTCATCAAAATAGCCATTTATTGCATTGTTGTAACTGCAATTTGTTATGTGAGGCTTGTAGAGCGAAAGCCCTGAAGAGTTTAAATGGTTGTAACTTAGATTATTAGCATCTTGCAATCTGAGAATGCCATAAATATTGCAATATGCCAGGTTATTGGATAGGGTCTAGCACTGGGGGAAGTGTATGGACAACTTCTCACAGTAAATGTGCAGTTACTGAGAAATCAGCTTGTCTTTTATTGGCAAAATAGAAAGTGCTGTCCCCTGCTTAAGACATGGCAGAACATGATGGGTGTGATTTGTGTACCATGGAAAATGTGTTTAGAGAAGCAACTTTTGGAGATAAGTGGGTTTTTGAGAGCAATATACACCAAGAGGCATTGAGCTCTTTTCATACTGCGAGAGTTTTTAATATCCCCTGTACTTTAGGACTTGCATGGAAAGATCTTATGTGTTAATTTAAGAATATTTCCTTTCTACTTAAAGCCCAGATCCATGAGTTGTTCCAGATGGTACATTGCTAATGATCTAAGTTACAAGAATTGAAACTCTCCAGGGCTTTTCCTCTGCAAGCCTCACATAACAAACAGTAACTCTAACAATAGAAAGCACTTGGTGGCTTTAATTCAAAACCTATTGCAATTTTTAAGTTAATGATAATAATATTCTGAGTTCATTAAATGAGACAGTTTCTGGTTTGAATATTGTAGCAGTTTTTCAGTTTAAAATTTGACTTGAGAAATATTACAAATATTTGAGGTTTAAATGCATGTGTGTGTGCGGAAGAAAGATCAACTCTACTATTTTCTTTAAAACATAAAATTCATAAAGCATGTGATGACATTATGCAAATGCTAAGCAGTGATTACTCCTGTGCCTCCAGGCTCCAGGCAGGACTCCTGGGCTTTATATTCCTGGGTTTAATATTCCACAGAATATAAAACAAAGAGGAAAAGACAAGCCTTTGCCACAAAGGACTTAATTGTCAGCAAATGGCATATCACCAGTCTGGGCAGAGCTCATATTTACATACGAGTTTTTGTGGTTTCTAGGGAGTTAATGGTGATTTCTCATCAGAACAGAACGGAGCAGCTGCAGGAAACGTTAAGACAGAAGATGCGGGATGAAGATAACTGGAGGGAGAAGGTAATGCTGGAGGTGCAGTGAGCAACCTTTCGGTTTCTTCTTTAGTTATTTATCTTTCAGTTGTAGTCAGCTGTCAGGAATCGGTGCAGTAAGCCAGATACCTGTCTCCTCGAGTGCAAACATGTCACTGGAATTCTTTGTACGAGAGGTTGGAATGGGTGAGCTCTCCACACAGGTTGGAACTGAATGCTGAAGGTATTTAGTGTCAGCAGTTACAGGCTCAGCGGATGTTCAGGTCTGATCCAGATTTCCCAGGTTTCGGGGTATTTGCAAAATGCCTGTGTTAGGAGTGCAGTTCCCTAACAGCCCAGTCTCAGGGACCGTTGTCCAACACCAGTTCCCAGGAGTTGAACATGCAGAGGCCACCTGGTCCAACATACAGGGGCCACCTGAGGAGGCTGAGATGAGACCTTCTGGCTCTGTCCAAGTCCCTGAAAGGAGGGTGGAGAGAGGTGGGGGTGGGTCTGTTCAACCAAGGACCAAGGGACAGGACAAGAGGAAATGGGCTCCAGTTGTGGCCAGGGCAGTTGAGATGGGATGTGAGGAAGAATTTCTTTGCTGAAAGGGTTCTGAGGCATTGGAAGGGGTTGCCCAGGGCAGTGGTGGAGTCCCCATCCCTGGAGGGATTGAAGAGTCGTGCAGACATAGTGCTGAGGGACATGGGTTAGTCGGGGACTTGTCAGTGTTGGGTTCATGGTTGGACTTGATGAGCTTAAAGGGCTTTTCCAGTCCAGGAAATTCTGTGTGATTATGCAGATAGCTCAGACATGGAGCAGCACACCCAGCTGCACACCCTCCCTCCCTCAGCACCTCGCCGCAGCTGTGCCGGTGCTGTGCACATTGCACTGGTCTGTTCCACCAGCAGAACACTGGTAACGTGTAATCCACACTCCTGGTAATGTGCATTTTCTTGGTAGAAGGGTTTCCCCTCCACCAGTGGCATCTTTAGTTGAGTTGGTAGTGTTACATTCTACAGAGTTAGGCTGTAATTTGTTAATCGTCTTTTAGTATGTACTTGGGTTTGATATGGAAAATAGAAGTTATACGTGTATACCCAGTGTATGTGCTAATTGGAGAGGTTTCTTAGCTAATTATGTCAGCTAATTCTTAGCTAATAATTCCAGCTGGCTGGAACGTGGCAATCCAACAGCTCCTCATTTATACTGGGCTCTGAGCAGCCCCACTGCATAGCAGCCATCTCGGGAATCGGGACCTTTGGCACCACTCTGCGGGACAGATCACTTTTTCCTCTAGTTTTGGGTCATGCTGAGAAGTTCTCAGCTTGGAGACTCTAACTGGGATTGCAGAGTCCAGCTGCCAGTCTCTTCCAGTGGGATTTGGAAAGCTATTTACCATAAACAACCGTGAGCATGTAAACTTTTGTTTTAATCTGCAACTTTTTCAGGTGAGCACAAAAAGATAAAACACCAAAACCCCCCCCAAAAAAAGCCAAACCAAGCAAACAAAACCCAACAAAAGAAAAAAAAAACCCAAAACAAATGCCAAAAACCCTACAAACTGGTTATAGTAAATAAATAAATAATAAGTAAATAGTGTTGAACACTAACTCTGGCTTTTCTGATTTAAGCCTCACATAATTAGTGAGTAAAATTACTGTCTCTTTTTTGGTTCAGTATGTGGTAAGTGTCTGAAGGCTTTATTTAGTCTGAGGAAAATTTTTGGACTACTAGCAATTAAGATCAGTTACACTCCTTTTAAAACTTAATCTCTCTGTCACAGGATATAATTTTAGAATGAGGTCACACCGTCTGCATAATCACAACGTATTGTTCAACCTGACATTAAAACAAGATAAAGGCTGCTCTGAGGAAGAGAGAGCAATTACAGCTTTGGTCTCGCAGCCATTAAAATGCTGTGAATGTCAAGTGCTCTAAAAATGTTCTCATCGGACAAAAGAATCAGCAAATGTGACTAAGTGACAAAGTTATCTTTTCCTTGGGTCAGTGTGCCATTGCATAGGTATAAAATGTTCCCGTTTTCTATTTAAAATACAGATAAACCTTAAATTGTTTTAATGGAACCACAACAAAAAAAATTATCTTTTACAAAATTGTAAACATCTGTTTTATGTATTTTTTTTTTATGATATTAATTCATGAGGGGCATGTAAGTGGTTTTAAAGCAATTAGTAGCCATTATGCTTTCTTTGAAGGTCAACTGCCATTTTATTTCCTGTTCTGGTTATCAGCTTTATTAGCTTCAAGTGTTAAATGTGAAAAATGCTTTTGTAATCTTCAAAATGAGCTTAGGTTTATTTATACTGCTTTTATTTTTTTAGTCTTTGTAATCAAGTAGCCTCCAACATATGATCTGCTTCTGTAATAATATGTAAAGTTAATAAATTTGGTTTTCTATGATTAGAATCCTAATTCCCATATCTAATAATGTAGAAGATATTTCAATAATAATAATAATAATAATAATAA